TGGTTGTTACCTTCTATTTCCATAGTAAATTGTATTTTGGGGTGTAGGCTGTTAAGATGTGTGAGGAAGTTGTCCAGTTTTTCCTTCCCGTTTGGTCAAATTACTAATGTGTCATCTACATATTTAAGCCAGAGTTTGGGTTTGTGTTCAGATACACACACACACACACACACACACACACACATGCTGGAAACATGGAAAGACAAGACTCTTATCAGGATTACTAATTTTATAACTAAATTTTCATAGTGAATCTTCATTTTTCAGGAGCTTGGATCCCCAAGCAGAACAGATTCCATTGGTGGTGAATTCCCAATACGGGTATGGAATACTGCTTCCTCTCTACAGAGACTTAGTTCCCTGGATACCTTCAGAGGGTAAATTGCAGTTCTGGATAATTCCTTACAATTTTTCTGTAAATGTCTTTGAGGATATTATCAGCTGAGATTTATAGGTGCAGTAGTATTCACCTTCGTGAAAGGCAGCTACCAAGAGTGGAACCCACTTGTCTTTTACAGTGATGCTATAAATAATGACAGAACAATAGAACAGGTACAATCTGTTAAAACTGATATAACTGGCACTTCCTGTTCTTTACTGTGGTAAGGAAGTGGATTCGTGTGTAGATTCACTTCATATGTCCCTGAGGTAACAGAAATCACCTTGATTTTGAAGGTTCTGATTTCAGGTTGTTGTCTGTTAAACAATTGAGCTTAGAGAACACAACACATTTAAGGCTCTTCTAGATGGGATTAATGATCTGGTACATGTGAGCAACATCATATCTGCTTGAACCCTCATCAGATTTAATCTTGTTTTAGGGATTAGGATAGTTTCCATTTTTTTTGCACTGTTTTTTTTAATTGAGAAGCTGCTGCACCTTTTTTCTTTTGATAAAATCTAAATTGTAGCAGAAGTAAGATCTGATAAAACCCCTGTTGATCAAAAGCATCTGTGGGTAATAAAAACACAGATTGCAATCAACACACCATTTTGAAATGTATGCACAAGAATATGGAGGAGGAGACAAGAAAAGGTTGTACTGTATGTTGCCTACTTGGAAGGGGCTAAACTAGTCTTCTGGGTTTCTTTAAGAAAATGAAAGAATATGTCTATTTATTTTGAATACTTCTATTTTTTTGATGAGCCTTCTCAATCTGATGCCCTTGACATGAACATCAGCATTGGGTGGCAATCAGGGAAATGTATCCTAACATATCTGGATAATCCCTGTTGAGCGACAGTTGTTTATTTCTTAAATTTATGTGCCGCCCATCAGTGTTGGGATTCAAAAACATTTACTACTGGTTCTGTGAGCATGGCTTGGTGGGCGTGGCAGGGGAAGGTTATTGCAAAATCCCCATTTCCTCCAGATCAGCTGGGACTCAGGAGGCAGAGAATAGACGGGGGGGGGGGGCAGTCAAGTGGTATTTACTGGTTCTCTGAACTACTCAAAATTTCTGCTCCCGGTTCTTCAGAACTGGTCAATCCTTGATTGACAGGGTCTGTAGCATGTGTCCTCTGCCAGCACAGGTTGTTCTAGACCTGTTCTAGAATCTGCAGTTTTCTGGTATGAAATGGGAATTTTGTTGAACTGGATGGATGAGAATAAATATAAACTGGTTTTTGCAGCTTATTTTTGCCTACAATTTAAATTTGTTAAGCCAAGTTATTTTCCTCAATGCTTTTCAATTTATTTTCTGTTAAATGTATGTTACATTTAAAACAGGAATTTAGTATTTCAGAATTGGCCTCTTTTGTGTACTTACATTGTTGAACATTTTTTTCCAGCCTTAGCCACTAGAAGAAATCTTGGAGGTTTTCTAGTTTAATCTCCTAGCCCTTATACTTTAGAATTGCCCTTATACTTTAGCAGAAAATTGTCCAATCTTTTCTTGAAAACCTCCAGGGATGAAGGACCCACAGCTCCAGGAGACAACCTATCCCATTGATTAATTGTTTCCACTGTCAGGAAAATTCTCCTTAATTCCAGGCTAGATCTCCCTTTGTTGAACTTCCATCCGTTGCTTCTTGTCCTGCTGTCAGGTATTATGGAGACTAAATTGAGCCCCTCTTTCATGTAACAGCCTTTCAAAACTGGAAGATGGCTATCATATCCAAATCTTCTCTTTGGTAGGCTAAAGAGATCTAGTTCCCTTAGACACTACATTACAATGTAGTAGCAGGCAATTTATATTGTCCATATTTGTCTTTCTATTTTTAATGGCCATTTTTTTCCAGGTGAAAAATCCTGGAAGCCCCACCTCCAAGCTGAACTCACCTGAAAAAAATCTTGCTTCAGGTTTCTTCAAATGTCTTGTATTTATAGGCAAACCCAGTAGTGAAATGGGCATTTTCTGCTCATGTGATTCCAAGTCCTAGATAGAGCTTTCATTCCGGCCCAAGAACTCTTAAAAGTTCCCATCACACTGGCTAGGCGAGCATGGTTCAGGGGGGAAAATGAGCATTTTGAGATTTGCCATATTCTTCTGGCAGCTATTTTGTGAAAGTATCCATTGAAATCTTTTAAGTATTTCTGCTGGTCCCTTTTGATGTTGCTATATCTGACCCACCTACCCCATTAAAAAAAAATATTTGGTAACATTTAAATGACAATATATTCTCTGTGCTGTCACAATTTGAAAGATAAAAGTATTGATCAAATTTACTAATTTAAGACTTATTGAGAAACAATATTTTATCACTACAACAATGAAAAATTGTATTCAGAATTGTTAATATATGCATTCAGTGTGTGATTATGATATCTGTTTGACTTTATAGCCTGGCACTTACAATTATGATCTTTGTGAATTATGGTGGAGGAAAGTATTGGTTCTTCAAGCATCAGAGCTGGAATGGTAAGATATTCAAAATCCATTTGTCCTCCCGCATTAATTATATAAAATGAAATTGCCTCATTTACTGTTCTGCTTTGGGAGTTTGAGAGTTTTTAAAATTCCGCTGTTCCAACTAATGTTCAGTAAGGATAATTAATAGTTTGTAGTTGGACAAGCAGAGAAAGAGGAAAAAAGGGAGGAATGGGACCTGTATGTGGTTTGAAATAAATTCTTTTTTTAACTTATTCACTTCAGAATACTACTTTTCAATGTGCAGACCTTGTATTATGTCTTTTAGAAAGTTCAGAGTGTATGTTAACAGTTAATAATACTTTAGAACCAGATAGTATATTTAATTATCTAAGAATAGTAGTTCTTCATTGTTATGAACATTAACAATGTCTGTTTCTCTTTATAGGCTTAACAATAGCAGACCTCGTCTTTCCATGGTAATTCATGTTGATTACTAATAGCTTGAATTTAATTATAAGTCCATTCAGAAGAAATCCATATGGGAATATCTCTAATTTGGTCTGTCAGTTTGGTCAGGACAAGTTTAGTTGGATTCTTAATCGCCAAAATGGTTACTGTTTCCAGTGACTTTCTTTAAACTGTAGTTTTAGAATAAAATGGTAATAAGTGCATGCAATTCCAAAACTTTATTTTTTAAAAATAATTGGATTTTTAAATATAATTCCTAAAGTTGTTTTTCCAAAGCATAAAAACCTTAACATTGTCATGCAGTTCATTTAACAGAAGGCTGCTCTATACTTCCCACCATAAGAGAGACCCACTGACTGTTTCTCAAAAAAAGAAATACATGAAATCCTCATCTCAGCTACAGTCAGTTGCAAATGTGTCATCATCCTGTCTTTTGTTGCTCTTCCCATCCCTCTGCTGGCTCAAGTTTCCTAAATGGTCCATCTGCTCAATTTCTTCCATCATATGTAGATGTTTCATTGCTGAGATAGGACTAGGTTTGGAAGTTCATGCAGGAAGTGCTTCTTTGAGCTGGCATAATTTTCTGTCCCCCTCTCCTTTGCGCTGTGTTCTTATTTTTGCAGTTTTCCTCAGCAAATCTAAGTATTCATTCTTTCAGTGTCAACTATATTTGATATTTCAGTAGAAGTCTATTTCAGTCTATTTTTCCATCTTACAATTTAAAGAATTTTTACCAGCAACAATAATGTATTTCACTGAGGGAGTTATACTACAAGAAGTGGTAGTACTCACCACTTCTGGAGGCAAACTGTTCCATTGATTAATTGTTCTTACTGTCAGAAATTTCTCCTTAATTCTAGATTGAATCTTTCTTTGATAGATTTCAATCAGTTACTTTGCATTCTGCCTTCAGGTGCTTTGGGGAATAGGTCAACCCACTCTTCTCTATGACAGGACCTCAAATATTGGAAGACCGCTATTATGTCACACCTTACTCCTTTTCTTTGTTAGACATACCCAATTCCTACAACTTTTTTGTCATATTTTAGCCTCAGTCTTCTAATCAACTTTGTTGCTCTTCTCTCAATTCTTTCTAGAGTCTCAACATCCTTTTTGTATTGTAGTGATCAAAACTGGACACAGTATTCCAAGTGTGGTCTTACCAAGGGATTATAAAGCAGTACTACACGTGATCTTGACAATATCCTTTTGTTGATTCAGACTAGGACTGTACTGTTTTTTTTGGAGGCTGCAGCACACTGCTGGCTCATATTTAATAGTTGTTCACTAGGCTTTCCAGATCCCAGTTTACTGCTCTTAAGCCAGGTATCACCTATTCTATTCCTGAGCATTTGGGTTTTCTTGCATAAGTGTAAAACCTTACTTTTCTCTTACTTGAATTGCATTTTGTTGGAAAGGAGCCAGTATTAAAGTCTGTCAAGTTCTTTCTGGATCTTGAGACCACCTTCTAAAATGTTGGCTATTCTCTCCAGCTTGCTATCATCTGCAATGATGAGAGAATAGAAGTTCCTCTTCTATCCTCTCTTCCAAATAGTTTATGAAGATGTTGAAAAGTATTAGCCCTAAAACAGAATCTAAAGGTGCCCCATTGCATGCTTGCCTCTATATCGATATAGTTTCATTGGAGACTACACTCTGAGTACAGTTGGTCAGCCAACTGCAAATCTATCTGGTGGTGATGCTATCTATCCTACATTTTTCTATATTATGAAGAAGTAGGCTATGTCTAAACAGTTTGGGTAAAGGAGGACTTTTGGATCAAAATTTGGAAAGTAATAGATACAAGGAAGGCTCTTGCCAAATTGGTAAGTGAAAAATAGAATTTTGGAATAGTTGATTTTTTATTATATAAAAATATGTTCCACATAGTTTTTACTATGGAACCCACAAAAGAACTGCAGAGAATATGTATGTTAAAGAAGAGCTCAAGTCTTTTGCATTTTCTAGTAATATTGAAACTAAGAAATACCGTATTTTTCAGAGTATAAGACACACCAGAGTATAAGACGCACTAAGGTTTTGAAGTGGCAATTTTTTTTAAAAAGTGAGTAGGAAGATAGAGAGATAGAGAGGGAGAGAAAGAGAGAGAAATACAGTAGGAAGGTAGGGGGAGAGAGAGAGTAATTAGGTAGGTAGATGAAGGAAGAGAGAGAAATAGAGAAAAACAGTAGGTAGATAGGGAGAGAGAATGTGTGTTTGTAGGTAGGTAGATGGATAGAGAAAGAAATAGAGAGAGAGTAGGTAGGTAGGTAGGGAGAGAGAATGTAGGTAGGTAGGTAGAGGGATAGAGAGAGAAATAGAGTAGGTAGGTTGGTAAGTAGAAGGATAGAGAGAGAGAGAAATACAAGAGGGAGGGAGGGAGGGAAGAAGAGAGAGTAGGTTTGTTTGTTTGTTTGTTTGTTTATTTCATTTGCATGCCGCCCTTTTCCCCAAGGGGACTCAGGGCAGCTCACAACTCAAACAAGGGAAGGGGGATACAGACAATTTGACAACAACACAAAACAATACATAATTTAAAAGCGCAACAATCATACCATTCGAGATAGGGGCAACGATTCTTTAGCCCCAGGCTGTCGGAACAGCCAGGTTTTAAGGGCTATGCGGAAGGCCTGGAGGGTGGTGAGGGTTCGAATCTCCACGGGGAGTTCGTTCCAGAGGGCTGGAGCAGCCACAGAGAAGGCTCTCCTCCGGGTAGTCGCCAGTCGACACTGGCCGGCGGAAAGAATTCGGAGGAGGCCTAATCTGTGGGATCTAATCGGTCTGGTGGAGGTAATTGGCAGCAGGCGGTCTCTCAAGTACCCAGGTCCAATACCATGAAGGGCTTTATAAGTGACGACTAGCGCCTTGAAGCGTATCCGGAGACCAATAGGCAGCCAGTGCAGCTCGCGGAGGATAGGTGTTACGTGGGTGAACCGAGGTGCACCCACGATCGCTCGCGTGTATGTAGGTAGATGTTTCCAGATGTATTTATCCATGTGCTGGAGAAGAAAATCGCTGACAATTTGCAGCACCTAAGACTTTGTTTCTGCTGCCACAGCACTTGATCAATGTAACTCTCATCAATCAGTTAAAGAGCTTTCCAAAAAGGAAAAAAAAAGTTTTGCACTCTGCAAACCTCCCCAAAACAGCCTGGTTTTTGTGAAAACGGCCACTTTTTTTTTTCAAATAAAAGTCATGAATAGCCTTGGAGGAACTTGCAGAGTGCTCCTGGGTGAGTGGGGGGACCAAAAATGAGCAAAAGCCCTTTTTTTTTTGCAAAAATGGCCCTGATTTTTGTCAAAAAATGTGCATGCATTGCCTTATGAAGGCTTATAGAGTGCTGCTGGGGACTTGGGGGGGGGGGGGCAAAAAAAGGCACATTTTTCATACCTTTCTGCCCTCCCCAGCCCCCAGGAGCTCTCTGAAAGCCTCCATAAGGGTATACACAGCCATTTTGGTGAAGGGGTGGAGCTTCAGGAGGCAAAAAATGCTGTATTCAGTGTATAAGATGCACCCAGATTTTCAGCCTCTTTTTTGAGTATAAGGTGAGTCTTATACTCAGAAAAATATAGTAGTTTTCTGGAATTTATTGTAGATCATTGGGAAAGAGAGGAACTGTTCAACTCTTTTTCTAATATTCAAATTGTCCCCCTTTCATTGCCAATACAAGATTCATATTTGTTTTTCTAAAGTTTTTCAATTCTTGAAGTTAATTTCATCCTCAGATAATATATGTCTTTTTCTGATTTTCTGTTTCTCCTTTTCATTTCTAGGTTTGTATTTATTATGGGCACCTCTATTTCACTGTCCTTCAGTGTCATGTTAAGACGGGGTTGTTCCAAATGGCAATTGCTGGGCAAAGTTTTATGGAGAAGTCTCCTCCTATTTTTAATAGGACTAATAATTGTAAACCCAAATTATTGTCTTGGACCACGTAAGTGCTAAGAGATTTATATTTTTATATTGATTAAAATCGTGCCCTTCACTTTGTATATCACAATAGAATTTTGAAAAAATGGAAATTCATACAGGTGGAACTATGTACAAACTGTTGCAACTACATGAGTTCTTGCAAAGTAGTACCATGTTTTCCCGAAAGTAAGGCCTATCCTGAAAATAAGCCCTAGCTTGATTTTTAGGGGTGCACCTAATGTGAGACCTAGCCCAAAATAAGTCCTAGTTAAGATCCCACCCACTCCGTCCCACTGTCTAATTGCATGAGATGGGTTGAGGTGCATGAGTAAAAATCAAGCTAGGATGAGGGTGGGGAGTGGAGCTGACTCATATGCCCCACACTCACTTACCTTAAGACTGGTGCAGCCAGGCCTCCCATGCCCTGACACACTCCAAGACATGTTGTGCTGCTGCCTGACTTCAGCAGCCACTTGTGGCTGGATGCCACATGACACTTTGCACCAGTGCTGCTGCTTGTGGCCAAATGCCATGTGGCGCATTGCACCACTGTTCTGCAAGTGGTGGCACCAGCACGATACACCACATGGTGTCTGCCTAGAAGCGGCTGCAGAAGAACTCAGGCAGCAGCACAACAAGTCTTGGAGTGTGGGAGGCCTGGCTGTGGTGGTCCTAAGGTAAGCAGGTAAAACATCCCATGCTTATTTTGGGGCCCAAAAGAAAATAAGACCGGGTCTTATTTTGGGGAAAACATGATAATTACTATTCATATTGTTTCCAAATCATTGTAACATCTCATCTTAATGCACATAAAGGGTATAAATCTAAGTATTATAAAGGGAGTGGAATAAAATGACTTCGGAAGCAACATGATAGTTCGGAGGATAAATTTATATTTAATTCAGGTATTAGAATTAACAATTTTTCTTTTGTTCTGATTCATGTTTTTAATCCAGTGTATCATCTTGGAGTTGAAAAAAACATTCTTTTTTTATTCTATTCTTCACCTCAGAAGTTACATAAATTAAAGCTGTTTAGAAATTTTCTTATTTATACATTGAAGGGATTCCTATCAATCTGTATGCTGAAATGATCATGTAGAAATTAGACCTAGAACTGATTTGGGGGTGAAGATTGGAGGCAGAATCATAAAGTAATTTGAGAAAGGCAGATGATACAATACTTTGGCTGAAAATAAGGAACACCTGGAAAAAATATCTGGAAAATTCAGTATGAAAGTGAAAAAAAGTAGGATTGAGTCTTAACTTCAGGAAAACAAGGATACTGACAACAGCTGCAAATGAATATGAGAAATTTAAAATAAACAAGGAGGAAATTGTTTAAGAATTTATCTTCAAAAATTGTTCAAGATGGTAGTCTCACACTTGAAATCAAACACAGGATAACCTAATTTGCACTGCTTAAGCAGAGATATTGATATAAATACAAAAAGCAGACTAGTTAGAGAAATAGTCTTCCCTATAGTGATGTATGGATATGAGAGTTGGACACTAAGAATAGCTGATTAAAGAGGAATTGATGCCTTTGAACTGAGGTGTTGACATAAATTATTGCATATACCATGGACAGCAATAGAGGTGTTCTGATTTATATCAATCCAGTAACATCATTAGAAGCCAAAATTACAAGACTGCCTGATTTACTTTGGCCATGCATGCAAATTCATTGGAGAAGTCAATGATCCTAGGAATGGTTAGTGGATCAAAAAGAAGGGGCAAGTAAAGAACAGATTGTCTTGATTCTGTCCAAGCTGATTCAAAGAAGCTGTACTTGACAGGTTAGCATGGAGAGCATTTGCCTATAGTCACCAAGTGTCATGGCCCCGTGGGAGCCTAGGGTTGAGGAGGAGGACGAGACAGAGTTGGGGCTGACGGAGGATGGAATGGCCTCTCTGACTGGAGGAGCGACCAGTGGAGCAGGACAAGGCATTTCCAGGTCGCTCAGGTCTTGGAAGGGTGGCCAGCGACAGGGAGAGGGCTCAGGATGACCAAGGGAGGGAGGAAAACAGGGAAAGAGTAGGCAATGGAGCAGAGGACTGATGGAGCTCCAGGGAGGAATGATTGCCTCCCCTGTCTGATCCTCAATCACAGAGGGTAGAGAGGAGGCGAGATCAGCGCAGGGCAAACCAACAGCCACTGGGGGAGGTCGCCCCGCCCTTCGTCACAAGACTCACCTGGGGAATAAGATTTAAAGAGACGCCCTGGGGAGGGTGCTTATTGAGAATAAGTGTTGCCTTTTTCTAGCATGCTTGGTGACATGTTGCCACCTTGTCTTAACTGTGCTTAGCCTTGCTTTGCTTGGGTTCGACTTGCCTTGCTTTGCCTGGCCTGACCATTGGCGTGTACCCAGCGACACAGCTCTGTTTTGAGTTGTGCTACAGCCACAGCGACCCCTCCATGCAACAAGGACTCCCTGGAACCAGGTTTCCTGAACTCAGCAGCCAGGAACAGCAGCATGAATTTGTTTGGAGTGTTGTTCTTGGACTTACAATGAATTGTGGGGACTTTTTTGGGGTGGGGAGTTGGAGCAATAAAAGGGAGTTAAGCCTTCACTCCTGCTATGTTGCTTTCATGTCCAGCCCTGAGTCATCACACCAAGATTCAGACATGACTGAACAGTCAAAACTAAATAATAATTACATAGGACTAGGTGTGACTTGATAGCACTCTTTCAATATTTGAATGACTGCCAACAAAACGAGGGAGTGACATATTCTCCAACACACCTGAAGGCAGGACAAGAAGGAACAGATGGAAGCTTATCAAAGAGAGATCCAGAGTAGAACTAAAAAGAAATTTCCTGGCATGAGAACAAGTAATTACTTGATTAGCTAACACCATAAGTTATGAGTCCTCCATCACTGGAGGTTTTTAAGAAGAGTTTGGAGAGCCATTTAAAATGGCATAAGGTCTCCGACTTGAGCAGAAAGTTGGGTTACAAGACCTCTGAAGTCCTTTACAACTCTCTTATTCTGTTACCGTTACATTCACACACAAAGTAGCACCACTTTTCTAACATAGCAAAATAAAAAATGGGATGTCTTTGTCTGGGCACAGTAGAATTCGAAAATTGGGGAGCTGTGCATTTCAGTGATCTTTAAAAGCTAATATGCTATATAGCCTTTGTTATTTTGTTTTATTTCCAAACATGAATGAATTTTTTATCTAATTACATACCTATTTATAGAAAAAGATTGAATGATAAAGGAATTCAGTTGAGAAATTTCATAAATGTTCAAAATCCTTTTGTAAAGAATTTTGTTGTAGAGCAATATAGCCAGGGTAGCGTGAACACCTACTGTATTTTTTTCGGAGTATAAGACGCACCTATTTCCCCCCAAAAACAGGGTGAAAATCTGGGTGCGTCTTATACACTGAATACAGCATTTTTGGCCTACTGAAACCCAACCCCCTTTGCAAAAATGGACATGCAGAGAGTTTGAAAGGCTTGCAAAGTGCTCCTGGGGGCTGGGGAGGGCAAAAAATGGACCATTTTTGTCCCCCAAGTCCGCATGAGCACTCTACGAGCCTCCTAAAGTTCTGCATGCCCCCCTTGTTTTCCAAAAAGTGGGCTGGTTTTTGCTAGTTTTTGACACACACACCCCAAACCCCCAGGAACACTCTACAAAGCTCTGCATGCTCTTTTTGTGTGTGTGTGTGTGTGTGTGTGCAAAAAATGAGGCATGCAGAGGATTTGGGAAGCCTGCAGAGTGCAAAAACTTTTTTTGAATTTACCTCTGCAAAATCATGGTGTGTCTTATATTCTGAAAAATACGGTAAGTAAGAAAGGGGAACAAGAAATTGAGGACTACTGAAATTAAAACTGGAATTATTAACTTCAATAGTCTCCCTTAAAAAATTATTTTTCTCATTTCCAATCAAGAAAATTAATTTTCCTTGTTTGCTACAGAATATTTCTTAAAGTAATTGGGTTAATTTGCTTAGATTAAAATCCAGTTATAACACTGTTAATTTGGAAACAGTATATATATACCGGTATATATATATATATATACACACACACATATATATATATAATGGATGCAGAAGTAGTTCTCATACTATCCAATATTCTGTAAACTTTTATGCTCACTTGTATTGCTTTTATTTGTTTTGTTTTTTTAGTTTCCTTGGATAATCTACGAATTCCAGGTGTGCTCCAAAGATTGGCTTGCACATATTTTGTTGTTGCAACACTAGAACTGCTCTTTGTCAAACCTGCACCTGAGAACAGTACTCTGGTCAGTGAATGGTTTAATAGTAGTATTTCAACTTAAAGTGAAGAGAGTATTGGCTTTTCCTAATTCAAAAATTAAAACTCTGCTTCAATATGAAATTTTTAAAAAAGTGAAATAAAGCTTATTGAATGCATCAAATACAAGTTATCAGTTATCTCCCTTGCTTAAATAATTAACTTATCCCAATATCTATGGAAATTCTAAGTCATCATCATGATTGTCCCAAAGGTACTTTTTCAAAAAGCAATTGGATTTTCTTTGTTTTTCCTTAAAGACATTTCACTTCTCATTCAAGAAGCTTCTTCAGTTATGACTTAATGATGGAGAATGGAAGGATTTATTTCCCTTGCAGTCTGATTGTTGGCATTCTCTCTGAGAGTCATTGAGGCCATTGGAGGTTTATCTGTGCCCTCAGGGTCATCTGAATATTACAAATGGGTGTGGAACCTTGGAACTGTTGAAAGAACTGTGTTGTAAATAGGAGATAGGTGTCATTGTGTCCCTCCCCATCTGTTGAGAGAGGTCTGTTCAATTTTAATATTGAATTTAATATTGAGCCATCGCGTCCCCAAGAAAGCAATAGAGTTTCTTAAATGATTTAGACAGAAGTATCTTTTTTCAGAACACTTTAAAGAACAATACATCAGAATAATTTTCCAAGCATACAGGGCTTTTGTGCTGCTATTGCATTTTAAGTGTGTCATCTGGTGGAGTTGTTCCTGAATTAAAAGCTTCTCCTGAAGTAAAGTAAATTAGGTAAAAAAGGTGACTTCAGGCATCTCGTAGAAGCCTAGATTATTAAACTTTTCAAGAATAAAGTTGCTAATTTTTGCTTCTTGTTCTTGTCATTCAGTATTTGAAATGGGTTTAGGTTATAGAATTTTTACTACCTGAACATAGTTTTTTGATCTATTTCTTAGAACAGACAAAAGAGGCAGCACTTAGCTTTAAAGTCCAAAACAAAATGGAATCCTTCTCTTCCACATCAATTGAACTATGTATTAAACATACATGTTTAAAACACTCCTTCAAATATCTAGCTACTGTAGGTGATGAACCAAAGAAAGGAGTGAGAAATGGGTTTTGGGATTAGCTAGGCCCTTCCTAATGCTTTACTGGGGTGCTTTATTTTTGCTAGCTGTTTTAATGTTTAATACTGTTAACGTTTGTTTAATTTGTTTTCTTTGTTAATGAATATATTGCTTCTTTTTGGATTGCTCAAAAAAATTGAAAATGGAAGAATGATAAAAGTAAGTTATTAGATAACAAATCAGTTACCTGACTGTAATGCTTGATCTGGACTGAAAACCACTGAAATAGTTTACACACTGAATGCAAGTGTATTCACATTAGTTTTTCTTTTCCATTGTGGAAAAAAAAGATTGGCCCATATGTTAGTGGCTGAAGTTAACTAGTGTTATGAAGATATTTAATAGAAGAAAACCTCTTGAAAGTATACAAATTGTGTTAGAGTAAATACCTTCAGCAAATTCAGCACTTGTAGGAGTTTCCCAATGAAACTTGAATTACGCACATTTTACTTTTCTTTCTATGTTTTAATAGGAAACTTCCTACCCTGCTCTTCAGGATATTCTTCCTTATTGGCCCCAGTGGCTTTTTATGCTGGCTCTTGAAGGACTTTGGCTGTGTCTCACCTTCCTTTTGAGTGTACCTGGATGTCCAAAGTCAGTTGAAACTTAAATCCTTTTTTTTTCCAATTCTATCTTTTCCAGATACCTGTAAGATTTAATATGCTGTTCTGATTAATAACACTGCAATGTTTAGCATTAAAATAATATTTATTTGCCATTAGTTAACTTGAGGGACAACTGGCTACAATATTCTCATGACTACTTCAGCTTCAACCCCAACAATACACGATCTCACAATAGATACAAACTTAATGTAAATCGCTTCAAACTCAATTGCAGAAAATACAACTTCAGCAACAGAGTGGTCAATGCCTGGAATGTACTACCTGACTCTGTGGTTTCATCCCGAAACCCCCATAACTTTAACCTTAGACTTTCTATTGTTGACCTCACCCTATTCCTAAGAGATCTATAAGGGGCATGCATAAGCGCAACAACATGCCTACCATTCCTGTCCTACTGTCCCCACTTATTCAGATCCATTTCCTGTATTCATAATCATGTTTATACTTGTATCTGTTGTTCTATACGTGCTTGACAAAATAAATAAAATTTAAAATTAAATAAAATTAAATTAAGAAGCTTCACTGAAATCAGTTGGAGCTAACTATTCCAGGAGTGCTATTTATCCCTAGACTGCTTTTTTTTTTTAGTGGTTCGCATATGGAACTTCTAAAGGGCTGTGAAAATGGCTTAGATATGATAGTCAGGCTAAGAATTTTGTCATGAGATTCCTGTTTTGGGATTTTTATGGACAGTGGGAAAAGCAATAAAATGAAATGATGGACGTTGGCCAGTTGCGAAAATTGCTGACATATTCTGGAAGCCATTGTACATACAATCTTAATAGCTTGCAAAGCTGCTTTCTCATTATACTACACGCTACACAAAAAGAGCTCTTGACCTTTTCAAATCAGTCTGATCACACCCATGCATAACATATGACTCACAAATATATTTTTCTCCCCTCCTGTAGAGGCTACCTTGGACCTGGAGGTATTGGCAGTTTTGGAAAGTTTCCCAACTGTACTGGAGGGGCAGCAGCTTACATTGATCATTTGCTTCTAGGAGGAAATCATATCTATCAACATCCATCTTCTAATGTGAGTTAAACATTCCAAACATCTATCAACTATTTGTAAAATGATTCAACCTGGTTCAAAGTTTTATCACTACTTATTAAGAATATTGGAAGGCAAATTGTGATTTCAATTTTTGTAATTCTTCAAAATTGCTGCCAGCTTCTTATTTTCTGTATTTATTCCTTGAAATCAAGTAACTTTTCTTCTTAATGTGTTGACATAATATTTTCATTAGAAATATTTTTAAAATGTAAAGAAAATACATATTATGTGACAGAACTTTCACTTACAATTTCATTCAAACAAGGAAATCAACATTACCATTCTTTAATTTCTTAAAGTAATTTTATGATTGCACATTGCAGAAATAGTTGAGGTTCTCCACCTCTAAGACTTTAGAAAGCAGATAAGAAATGCAATGGCTGGAGTAATTTCATCTATTTTTCAGTAAGTTTTAGTGCTAGCAATAAGTAGAATGGCTTGGCTATTTTTTCCCATCTTCACTTCATTTAACTTAAATTATGTCCTATTGAACAATAATTTAAGTGAATTACTGCTATAGTTATCACAATTATGCATTTGTAATAGCCCTAAATTTACTTTAGGTCTTCTATTTTCAAATAAATAAATACATTTAAAATAAATTAAATATAACAAATAAAATTTCTCCATCCAGATGTCTAACACTAAGTGACAGCAGGCACAGGTAACTCCCATGCTATTCCTACTTTCTAACTGGAATGGAATAACTATGCCTATGTGTTGCTCCCAGTCTCATGACATAGAAATTCAGGGTCAGAAGAAACATCTGAACAAAAAACATTTTTAGATCTAAAGCTCTGCATCGGGCTACACAACAGCATTCTGAAGCTTCAACTGGAAGTATAGGCAGTCTTCGGATCCCCTAGAGTGGTCTATGTTATACTTCTGTTCTGCGAGCTGCACTTGACTGCTAGTTTGCTTTTGGGGTATTGGTTATTATCTATAAAGCCCTGCATGCCATGAATCCAGATTACTTGAAGAACCATCTCAACCATGCTGGGTAGGGGATGCATGCTGAACACCCCATTGGTCAAGGAATTCTAGCTGGTGGGGTCCAGAATTAAGAGCCTTCTCTGCCATGGTGCCAGCCCTTTGGAGCATCTTGTGCCCCTGGGGTGAGATCTGCCCTCACCCATCTTCATTAAGAGTTTGAAGCCCTGTCATTTGGCCTGGGGCCTCAATGGTACCTCCCCTACTATGCATCCTGCTTCTATTTTTTAATCATAACTTTGTATTCTTACTCTTACTGTTTTGTATACATATTATATATTTACTTACTGTTCTAGTTTTATCTTTCTATCTATCTATATGTATGGTTTTACTGCTTTTAATGTAAGTCGCCCAGAGGCATCTTGCAGTGAGATGGATGACAAACAAATTTTATAAATAGTTGCTAAATAGTTTAGTATTGCTAAATCAAATTGTATTTAAATTAGCAACTAATGTTTCAATAAAATTAAACAAAATTTCTAATGTACCTTTCTCAATCTATAGGTGTTGTATCTTACTACAGTCCCCTTTGACCCTGAAGGAATTTTAGGAACAATAAATTCTGTTCTTATGGCATTTTTGGGACTTCAGGTATTGTACTCTCTTCCTCTACATAAGCAAAAAAGGCTTCATCAAGTGCTATATAGAAAGATGAGAGATTATAATTCCCTATATATGTATGAGGGGTGGGTGGCCCTTCCATAGGTATAATAATACAAGTGTTGTTCATATAGGTTTTTTGGAACAACACAAGGAAATACTTATTTTAACATTTCAAACAAGTCATAGAACGTCAGAATTAATTATTTAATAACTGCTCTTATTTACATTACAATGCTGAGAAATTTTAATATGGTTAAGAAAAACATACTCCAAAATCAGATTAGATGAAGGTATTAATAGAACTATTTAATGCTGCAATATTTACATCATGAACTAGTTCTCAGTTTCACTTTATTAGTCCACTAAAACTATCCTAAGCACATTTAATGTTCTTGTTTTTCTTCAAGGGAGGAAAAATTCTTTTGTTTTATAAAGATCAGCATAAGGAAATAATTCTTCGATTTTTTGTGTGGGGTGTAATAATGGTAAGTTACAAATATTGCTTTGTTAGGTCAAGTACTATATTTATTTATCAATTCTTTTAAAGTGTGTTCTTTTCTAGTAAATTTGGTTCAAAAGAGATGAATATTTCCTGGGCAATAAACTGAATTTCAGTTCTTTAGAGGATCACACTTAGAATGTAAATTAAAATATGCAAAAATAAGAGAACACCTGTCATCTCTAGATGGATTCAAATTACCAGGTCCTGATGGATTACATCCCAGAATTCTGAAGGAACTGACAAATGTGATTTCAGAACCACAGCTTTCAAAGTTCTTGGATCACCAGGGAACTGCCTGAAGACTGGAAAAAAGTTGACATGGTCGTCATCTTAAAAAATGGGGGAGGGGAATAGATCCCGGAAAATACAGACCAATCAGCCTAATATCAATCCCCGGAAAGATCTTGGAAAAGATAATCAAGGAACAAATCTGCAAACACCTAGATACAAACAACATTAAAACAGAAGCCAAAAACAGATTATGCCAAACAAATCTCATTTCATTCTTTGACAAAGGGACAAAATTAGTAGATCAGCAAAATGCTATGGACATAGTACACTTAGATTTCAGTACAGCATTTGATAAGTAACCAAAACCTACTTCTTGGCAAGTTAGTAAAATGTGGGATAGACGGCACCACCAGCAAGTGGGTTTGTTACTGGCTGACAAATTGTACTCAGTGTGTAGTCTTGAAGGGAGATAAGCAGTGAGGTACTCCAACGTAGTGTTTTAGGCCCAATACTCTGCAATATCTTCATAAATGATATAGATAAGGGAATTAAAGGGAAACTCATCAAATTTAAACAACACGAAGCTGGCAGGAAAAGCCAATACCCCAGAAGACAAGCTCAAAGTTTTTAAAAAATCTTGACAGACTTGAACCCTGGGCTGTATTTAACAATACAAAATTCAACATAGATATAAGATTTTACACTAAGGTAAGAAAAAAAATGTCTAGGTATAAACTAGGTGAAAGTTGGCTTAATGCCAGCAACTGTGAGAGGGACCTTGGAGTCCTACTGGACAATCACAGCAGCATCCAAAACCAATGCAATCCTAGGCTGCATTAATGGAGGGATAGAATCAAGATCACGTGAAGTTCTAGTACTGCTTTACAAAGCTTTAGTAAGACCACACTTGGAATACTATATCAAGTTTTGATCACAATATAAAAAAAGATGTTGTGACTTTGAAAAGAGTGCAGAGAATAGCAAAAAGCATTAGGGAGCTGGAGACTAAAACATACAAAGAATGGTTATAGGAGTTTAGTCTAATGAAAAGGATTAGGGGATGACACGGCAGTACTGTTTTAATATTTGAGGGACTTCTACAAAAATGAGGAGGTCAAACAGTTTTCAAAGAACCGAAAACCAAGAAAAGAAACAGTGGTTGGAAACTAACCAAGGAGAGAAACAATCTAGAACTAAAGATAAATTTCCTAATACCTTGCCTCCAGAAGTTGTGAGTTTTCAAGAGACTGGACAATCATTTGTTTGTTTGCTCAAGCATGGTGCCAGTCTAGAAAACATGAAGTCCCTTCCAACTGTATAATTCTATGTTCTAGGATTGGCAGAGCAGCAGCTCTGGAGTAATTCAGAGCAAGTCAAGCATGACATCAAATAGGAGTTTGTCAGGAGGTGAGCAGTAGGAAGATATAAGTTGTAGGAAGACATAAAGAACAAAGGAGAACAATCAGTGACACTATTATGTTCTGAGGATTATATGATATGAGAAGTGAAAAAAAATCTTAGAACCTGTTGATTGGAAGAGATATGTATTGAAAGCTCCTGATCGCGTGTTACAAATGATTGAGCAATTGCTTATTGAGATTTTAGGAATATAAGGTAGTTTTCTAGAGAATGAACTAGCAAAGCAAGTGGGCAGACAAATTAAATAACATTCTGTTAAGTCCAGCATTAGTTTTCATTTAAAATATCTGTGCTTTTTTTTAGGGTGTCATTTCTATGGTGTTGACAAAATGCTCAAAAGATGCAGGCTTCATTCCAGTTAACAAGAATTTATGGTGAGGAACATATGGAATCATTTTATTCTATAAACTGATATTTGATAGATAAATCTTGGATTACCTTTTGACATTCCTGCAGGTCAATTTCATACGTGACAACACTGAGCAGCTTTGCCTTTATACTTCTGATGTTGATATACTATCTTATAGATGTTAAGAAGGTATGGTCAGGTGCTCCATTTTTCTATCCAGGTGAGTATGCTTAAAAATAAAAATTTAACTTTTTTCAGATTAAACACCTACGTGGCAATGAAGACCTTGGTAGATTTTCTTTGTCTGTTGATTCATAGTGGGAAGTTTCTATCTCTCCCACCCAGTTTTACACTGGTTTATATTGTTCTAGCAGCCTCACTAGATGCATTGTTGAATTTTCACTGAAAATTTTTGCTAACAAGTGGACTGAATTTCCTGGAATCATGATGTGTGCCATCATCAGCTTATGGTTGAAATAATGATTCCATGCAATATGGGTGAAATAGCTGCTGGAATGATATAGCTTGATTATTCTGTAGGAATGTCCTGGAAAGTCTAATTTGGATTAATTATAAAAGAAACTCAAGTAGCTTTAGGGACAACTGAAAATACTGGTGGCACGATTTGTGGGATTGATAACCAATAATGTTTAGACGTCATCTGGTAAAAAAAAATACCATTTTGTTCCATTGTGATATTATATTTGTAGTTTATAGGAATTTTTTACTTCCTTAATCCTCTTAATGATTATTGCAATGTGATATATGGGTTATTATTTGTGGTTTATAGAAATTTTCAAGTCATTTAGAAGCCATGGAAGAGGACTGGAAGTGAAGCTAGAAACTCCAGGGTAGGGTAGAGTAGGTGGGATGGGGTGAGGTGGCAGTGGTAATTTGATAATCTCTTGGCATTCAGGGACTGTGCTTCATAAATTCCTGGTTGTGAGACAGTTTCTAAAGCTGGGCTGACGGGACCAGTTGAAATTGTTGCTATTGTACCAGCATCCCTGCTACATGACAATCTTCCTGCTTGAGATGCTGGAGGCCATTTGGGGCAGTTGGTGGATTTCCCCAGACTTAAGGTTCTGAAAGACTTCAGCCTGTCATTCCTAGATTTGGCATCTGAAGCGGCCTAAGATGGTCATTGTGGCGGCCATAGGCCTATCACAGATCATCTAAAACCTAAGTTGAGATAGTAGTCACACATATAATCTTCTTGTCAGAACAACATGAGGTGTTGGAGAATATAACATTGTCCCATTATAGTCAGAGCACACCCTGGTATACTTGAGATCACTTGTGCCACCACCACACACTGGCAGGGAGGCTAACCCCATTTGCGTGATCTGCTTCCAAAAACTGATGGCCCCGAATGTTGAGGGAATTTGGGGGACATTCTAGGGATTTTACTGCACAACCCTTCCAAAGCCTTGGTAACATCCTGGAATCAAAGGACAGCCAGGACTGCCCTTATGTGGCCTCTCAACCCAACTCTCCTGATTTTCCACAAGGTACATGGAGGAGCTGCAGATTCTGAAAAAGATTGAGAGATGACTAGAGCACATTGAAGAAAAGTGAAGGATGAATCTGACTTAGAGCTGCTATTATGGCTTATCTTATGGCAGTAAGAGCAGAGAAACAGTATTTCTACACCCTTATTGCATTTACAGTGTCCTCCATTGGTCCTCTTTTGTATCATCAAGTCTCTCCTGGGATAGGAAGGCTTGGTTGATCATCTTCAGAGTCAAACAGAGGCATTTGTTCAAGATCTGATGGAGAAAATCATTTGGGTTTGTTCTCAGTTGGAACTTATGCATAGTGTAAGTCCATATGAGATGCTCAAGATCTTGTCCAGTTACCTGGGAACTATTCAGTCCTGCTGGACATGATGAACTGAACAGGATTAATCACTGGTGAAAGCCTCCAAGATGGTGACTGTCAGGTGATTCAAGCAGTAATAAATTTATTGCAAGAGGCAAGGTTTCTGGGTGCTTTAAGGATAGATAGATAGATAGATACTTTATTTGTATGCCGCCCTTTTCCCTGAGGGGACTCAGGGCGGCTCACAATTCAGGGGGAGGGAAGGACAAACAAGTTACAAACATGAAGACAATACATCATTAAAAAAGCACAACAGTCATACTATTCGAGTGGGGTTGGAGTCTTTAGCCCTAGGCCTGTCAGGACAGCCAGGACTTAAGGGCTACGTGGAAGGTCCGGAGGGTGGTGAGGGTACGAATCTCCACGGGGAGTTCGTTCCAGAGGGTCGGAGCAGCCACCGAGAAGGCTCTCCTCCGGGTAGTTGCCAGTCGACATTGGCCGGCAGATGGAATTCGGAGGAGGCCTAATCTGTGGGATCTTATTGGCCTAGTGGAGGTAATTGGCAGAAGGCGGTCTCTCAAGTACCCAGATCCAATACCATGAAGGGCTTTGTAGGTGACAACTAGCACCTTGAAGCGCACCCGGAGATCAACAGGCAACCAGTGCAGCTCGCGGAAGATAGATGTTACGTGGGTGAAACGAGGTGCACCCACGATCGCTCGCGCAGCTGCATTCTGGACTAGCTGAAGCCGCCGAATACTCTTCAAGGGCAGCCCCATGTAGAGCACATTGCAGTATTCCAGCCTAGAGGTCACAAGGGCACGAGTGACTGTTGTGAGAGCCTCCCGGTTCAGGTAGGGACGCAACTGGTGCACCAGGCGAACCTGGGCAAATGCCCCCCTGGTCATTGCTGACAAATGGTGTTCAAAGGTCAGCTGTGGGTCCAGAAGGACTCCCAAGTTGCGGACCCTGTCTGAGGGGCGTAGTATTTGACCCCCCAGCCTGAGAGATGGAACACTTGGCCAATTAGTGGGAGGGAAGCACAACAGCCACTCGGTCTTATCTGGATTGAGTACAAGCTTGTTAACCCCCATCCAGTCTCTAACAGCTTCGAGGCCCTGGCTCATCACGTCCATCGCTTCATTAAGTTGGCACGGGGTGGACAGATACAACTGTGTATCGTCCGCATACTGGTGGTATTTTATCCCGTGCCATCGAATGATCTCGCCCAGCGGTTTCATGTAGATATTAAAAAGAAGGGGGGACAGGACCAAACCCTGCGGCACCCCATGTTAGGGGCCTGGGGGTCGATCTCTGCCCTCCGACTAACACCGACTGCGACCTGTCCGAGAGGTAAGAGGAGAACCACCGTAAAACAGTGCCTCCCACCCCCACCTCCTGCAGTCGTTGCAGAAGGATACCATGGTCGATGGTATTGAAAGCCGCAGAGGTCAAGGAGTACCAGGATGGAGGCGTGGCCTCTATCCCTGGCTCTCCAGAGATCATCGGTCAATGCGACCAAAGCGGTTTCTGTGCTGTAGCCAGGCCTGAAGCCTGACTGGAATGGATCAAGATAACTGGCTTCCTCCAAGGACCGCTGGAGCTGAAAGGCCACCACCTTCTCGACAACCTTCCCCACAAAGGGGAGGTTGGAGACTGGACGGTAGTTGTTTAAAACGGCTGGATCCAAAGATGGTTTCTTCAGGAGGGGTCTCACCACCACCGCCTTTAAAACGGGGGGAAAGACCCCCTCCCGTAAGGAACCACCTGGATCCAGGCTGAAGGAGTACCTGGACTACCACCTTCTTAAAAATTATCACTTGATCTTATCTACCTGGACAATTTTTGTCAGTTCCCGTTTTTCCTTCCTCAGAAAGAAGTGATTGCTTGGCAACTTCAGAGGTTCCTGAATTATTTAGACCCCTTCCTGTCAAATTCAGGCCTAGTTATAGAACAGAAACAACATTGGTCACATTTGTTGATGATATCTAGCAAGAGCAGGATGAAAGTTGTGCAACCATACTTGCGCTCTTGAACCTCTCTGCAGATTTCAGCCCTATTCTTTGGGCCAGTTTGGGGTTTGTGGCTGGGCAGCACAGTTGTGTGCTCAGTTTGCTCCCTTCTCCAAGGCCAGTCCCAATTGGTGTTAACTGGGAGATCCATGGCCACTTCTTTGTAGTATGCTGCAGGACATAGCACTTTCTCCATCCTTTTTAATATCTATATAAAGCCACTGGGTGAGATCATTCGCCCTCATGGGTTGAGTTTCAATATGCTGATGATACTCAACTTTATCTCTCCACCTCTGTTGATCCAAGTGATGCTATCTCGCTATGCCTGGAGGCTGTAAGGACTTGGATGCGGTACAATAGTCTTCAGCCAAAACCTGATGGTTTGGGGAGCATGGAGTTTCAAAATCTGGGACTTCGGTTCTGGATGGGGTTACAGAATGCACCTGCAACTTGGGGGTTTCTCCTGCCTCACAACTCCTGGTCAAATAATAGGTGGCTTTTGCATTTTATGTTGTGTAGCAGTTAGTTTTTCCTGGATCAAGAGTCCCTATTTTCAATCACTCAAGTCCTGGTCATCACATGTGGATTACTGTGGTTCCAGGGATTCCCTAGAGTGGCCCATATTATACATGATGTTGCTTCTGAGTGAAATTCAGGATGAATTAAAGCTCTGCATGGCATCGGTCCAGGTTACTTAAGGAACCATCCTCACCCCGATGGGATGGCCTGTCTTACCTATCCCAGCAGAGAGGGCATGCTGTGGGCCCATCACATAGGGACTTTCAGGTGCAAAGTCCAGAAAAGTCTTCTCTGCTGTGGCTTCTGCCCTTTAGAATATCTTATCCCAAGATGAGATTGACTCCCAGCCTTTCAAAAGGGCCTGATTCTGCCAGGAGGCTTGGGACCCCAACAAGGGAATAGCATACTGAAGGTGGTTGAAGAGAAAAATCCCATCTTCCTCCTGTCGTATCTTTTAACTGTAACTTTAATTTAGATTATAATTCTATTTTTATTCTTAGAAATTCTGATCTTTTATGATCTTATTGTTTTTAATGTTATAAGCTGCCCAGAGCTGCTTCAAAGCAATGAGTGGCAAATTTCTCTCTCCATCCATCTCTCTCTCTCTCTCTCTCTCTCCCTCTCCCTCCCTCCCTGTCTCTCTCTCTCTCACACACACACACACACACATGCATTATTACTTTTCTGATGGTATTTTTTATTTCTTTACAGGTATGAACTCCATTCTTGTTTATGTAGGACATGAAATATTTGAAAACTATTTTCCTTTTAAATGGAAGCTGCATGATACACAATCACACAGTGAACATTTGACTCAGGATCTAATTGCTACATCTTTATGGGTTATCATATCATATATACTCTACCAGAAAAGGATATTTTGGAAGATATAATTCAACTTAATACAAATCAAAAAGTATGGGCTATAAGAACGTTGTATTTCCCCTCATATTATTGTCACATTTTTTTTCCCAAAGGGTCCTGTATTTGGTTTACATTCCAAATTATTTTGAAGTGAAACCTGTATATTTAGTTAGCCTTCCATTTAGTAAAACAAGACTTCGTTCAAACTTTATTTTCTACATTATTCAATTTCTAAATAAACGTACTGAATGCTTTCCAATAATGGTATTTTCAAAAGAATTTTTGGTACACAAGTATTCAGAAATTTGCCTTATAAAAATCACATAGATTATGCAGTGGTATTTGGGACTATGCAGGGTCAGGAAGATTCTGTTCATTTTATTGTGCTGCAATTCAAGATTGTAGAATGGAATGAACAACAGTACTCTTCAGTCTCCTTCATGGCTTCAGTTCAGCTGCTATATTTGTTTTGTAAAGCTAAGATGCACTTAAGCAATAGTCAAATATGGCTTACAAATGACTTGTATCTGCCGTCAGCCTGCTTGCTTGATGATATCAGGCAGAACACTTGACCATGATGATCTCCAGCAAAATATCATGATGAATATCTGTATCAGCTTTACATGGCTTATGAATTTTTGTAACATGATTGTAATGGAATTATGGATTTCTATTACTTACCTACAATTTTAAATCCAGTCTTGTATCTAAACTAGATTTTTTTTTTAATGAAAGGATGATTTTTAATTAATTTTGAAAGCTTATTTTATTTAGAATGCCAAAGTCAAAAGTTGAAGTCATGAAGTTTGGCTATACTTTTCCAGCAACTTTGCTTCAGCACCTAAGGATAACTGGCTGGCCCCAATGGAATGATAATGATTTTCCTCCTTATTTGCTTCTCAACTCCAATGAAGGAGCTCAAATGACGTTGACTCAGCTCAATGTCTGAAGAAGCAAAATCTTCTCACTCATACAGAATCTATGCAATACCATCATCAAGTTTTCCCCACAGCGTGATACTTGACGCTCCATTGCCAGACGGAAATCTTCCTTCACACCTTTGGTGATTCCTCTGGTGATAGTGTGATGTCTGCAATTATAATAACACACACAAAAAAATTAAAGGCCATGGAGCTACATCTTGTAAAATGAAAACTGCATAGTATTGGTTGTAGAACATTCCAGTTAACATTTTAAAATATTTATAGAATGAAAATGTTCTGTGATAAGTATCATACATATATTATAAGATTTTATGTAAAACCTCCAAATGATTTTAAAGGTATGGAAACACATCCTAGAATCTTAAGTCCTGAAATGTCTGGATCTCTTTAATGCAGTGTATTAAAGTAGCCATGCTAAAGAACAATTGTATTCAGGTTTAAATTTGGCCATAAGAATATTTTTATGACTGCAAGTATTTCATTTTTAGCATAAATTATTTACCAAAATAGAATAAAAGCAGGTCAATATATATGTAGTAATCTAACTGTAAAGTTCTGGAGATGATATCCCTGCCCAAAACGCTGCATTACTCTCTCCATAAGAAATTAAATAATTTATGGCCTAACAAGAGAAAAATCAACAGTACTATTTACTGTTAAATAGTAGTAAGTAGTCCTCAACTTATGACCACAATTGGGCCAGAATTTGGTTGCTGAGTGATGCTAACCGATTGTTAACCGAATTTGGCCATTGATTTTCCTTGTTGAAAGCCATTTGGGAAGCCCCAATTTGTGATCACATGACTAGAACACTGCAACTGTTGTAAATGAGCTGGTTGCCAAGCACCCAAACTGCAATCATATGATCGTGCAGTTAGTACAAATGTAACTTTGAGGACAAATCATAACTCATTTTTTTCAGCAGCATCGTATCTCTGATTTGCCATTAAATGATTTGTTATAAGTCAATGATTACCAATTCCACTATAACCACTACTGCAGCACCAAGAGCTACAGAAATGAGTCCGATTATGCCATTTTGTAATGGACATTCTAAACTTCATTTTAGTTTCTCCAGACTCTGCTTTTTCCTCTTATTGTTATGATCTTGCGCTCAGGTATGACCTATGGATTCTCAAGCAATTTGAAAGGTTAAGATTTAACCATGTTGCAACACATACGCACCAAATTTATCTTAATGGGTTGGGACACATCATCAGTACATAACAGAACTATTAAGACACCAGAAACTGCTGTATATCCACCATGGACTACAGCGTATTTCTTTGTTATACAACCTCTAGCTATTGATAGAGAGTTCAAAATAAAAATGGGCAAAAAAGAGGAAGGCAATGGTAGAAATGAATTCCAAGTCTTTAATCTTCCAAAATTGCTTTACAACAGTTATTACTATTTTATCTAAAAAACCCTCTCTAAAATATCACGAATTAGCTGAGGCTAATTGTCAAAGTAAAAATGCACAATTTGACGTCAATTCCACAAAAATATGTATCACATTTTAGTTCTTAAACCACATATTTAATAAGGCTGCATTTGTTTGATTTTAAATAAGACTTCACATTATTTATATGCTGCCTTTTCATTGCCTCTATCTTGCCCATATAGTGTTTTAACAGAAGGCTAATTTCTTGTTGAAGAAACAACTTGCTGAAACCGCAAACCAGAATATATATATATATATTCTTCTGCTGCTTATAGTCAAATTTGCTTCTCAAGAGGCAAAGAAAATAGGAACAAGCAATGTAGTGAAAGTAAAGAATATGAAAAATTCCATGAAAATCCTTGCCAGTCTTAACATATTAAAGTCAATGTTTAGCTACATTATAAAAGAATGGACTAGTTTGTCCAGAAAAAAATAAGAGCATCATTTTATTATATAATCCATTTAAAAGTTTAACATACATGAGCCAGTAACATGAAAAAATAACAAATGTTAACAATAATAAAACAATTTGCCAAATGGTGTAGGCACAAATGAAGAACAAAAGCATGGAATTAACAAAGGTCTGATAACCATGACCGGTACAACATATTGACGAAAAGACAGCACACTATGAGCAGGGGTGTCCTCCTGCTTTGTACCTGTCAGCAGTCTGCATGCTGGGCTGTAGTACAGGTATGAATTCCTGCTGCAGTAACCCCAGTGGAGGGCTAGAAGTCCTTTAAAAAACAGCAAACAGCAGCATTCAAACACACACACCAACTTCCCGCTGTGCTACAAAATCAATTCTCCAGTAACGTACACATTAAGAGGAGTACAAATCAAGTCTAAATCCTAGTGCAAGCATCCAATTGATTTTTTTTTTAGAGATGAAACAGAAAAAGCTTCGCAAGCCTAGGTGTTTCAAAGAAGAGCATTCAAGAAGTCAGCTGAGGATTTAAATCCTGTTGGCATAAATAATGCCTTTACCAAGAAAGATACAATGTGGCAAGCAATCCTTGGATGTAAAATTTCAGTAAGGAAGCTCAGCAAATGTTCACATGTTGAAGAGAATATAAGATATCCCCTGAAGCACATACTCTGATTCGCTATCTCTTTTTCAAATGGAAGAAAACCATTACTGTTAGACTAGGCTACCAATGTAACAGATAATATCAAGCCACCTCTTTCTTTTACAAAATAGAAAGGGCTACTTGGCATCTAGTATGGTACACCTTTTCTTGCCCCAGAGCACATCTAGGGAAACTGCAGCTTCTATAATTCTTTGCCAAATATTTTTTTTAGTAATTTTGTGAAAGCAACTTTCAAAAGAAAACAAAACAGCAAAACCAAGGTATTTTGAAAGAGAAAAGAAAACATAACATTTCAATAGCAATAGCTCTTAGATTTATATACCGCCCTAAAGTGCCTTGAGCAGTCTCTGGACAGTTTGCAATTTCAGCATATTGCCCCCAATAATTTGGGTCCTCATTTTAACGATGTTGGAAGGATAGAAGGCAGAGTCAACCTTGAATGTCATCAGGATCTAACTCCAGGCTGTGAACAGTTAGCCTGCAATACTGCATTCTAACCACTGCACCACCAGGGCTTCACCATTCCAGAACTGACTTACACTACAAATGCTTCCAAACAGAAATTTAGCAGAATATTAAGACATGAAATACATTCTATTTTGGTAATAGCTGCAAGTTAATGTCATTTGAAGTTTATTATTATTCATATGTGCTACAGGAAATACGTATTGTAATTTTTGCCTTCTCCAGTGTTTTATTATTTTTCCAGCATTTTTCTTAATTGCTGCTGTACAATGAAAAGCTGCAATAATTTCACTGATACTGATGCTTTAGAGATGGTTTTCCCCACCCCCATTAACCAAAATGGTACCTAATAGACTTGTTTCATATATCTATTAAAAAGATAAGAAAACAAATTTATATATCTTTTATATTAGCATTTGAGAAGTCCTGTTGGAAGTCATATCAGTTTGAAAGCTTCTAACAGAATTCTACTGAATTTACCATATTTTTCAGTCTAAACGACGCACAGGTGTATAAGAAGCACCAAGATTCCAAAGAGGCAAGAAAAAAAGTTTGTATCTTCACTCAGCCTCTAGCAGCGAAAACGTTTTTGCCTTACCCGAGCCCTGCTGAAGCCTGCAGAGTGCTGCTAGGGCCTGAGGGAAGGCAAAAACACCTCCGTTTTTTGCAAAAATGGGAGGCGAGGTGGGGCTTCGGGAGGCCAAAAAAAGACTGTATCCAGTATATAAGACGCACCAACATTTCCACGCTCTTAGGGGAGGGAAAGGTGCATCTTATACTAAGAGAAAGTGACAGCTGGGTTTGTAGCTATGGTGCGACTGGAACTCAAGAGTCTCCCTAGCCTCGTGCTTCAACCACTATGCCAATCTGGTTCTCCAACACATTTACAAGAAATTGGACACAGGAATTATTTTATGATCAGTAAATTTCCCTTCTGCAGAAGAATTGCATTATGCTCTTAATAAAGTTGTGGCATGATAAAGCTGAACCACTACTTAAACCCAAATGTTTGAAACAGAACTTTCAATTAAAGATCAGACTCTACAACAGGTGTAATAATGCTAAATAGAGAAATGAGCTAAAGAAGGTAAACAGAACTATAACTGGGGAAAGAATGCTATTGCAACTAATCCTTTCTCGCTAATTCAGGGCAAAGGTCCAATTTCCTGTCTATTCACCAAAATTATGACTTGAAACCCATACGATTATTATACAATAGAAGAACAGATCATTGTTTCATAGTTCAATGTGGTGCACATTAGTAGTCATAATAGAAGGTTTAGCAACTGAAACTGTTAGGTAGGATGGAGTCAGTGTCAGGATTCCAAGTAATAGATTCATAGCAAGCAAAAACTCTGAGACAGGTAGATTCCTCAAAGAATATCTCTACTGGAAATATCGTATTGGCACATATCTTTTGAAAACCAACTCTGAGGGGCACCTTGGTTTTCATCTAATTAAAAGTAAGTTTTTTTCCTCAACCCCAAACAATCAGTCACATGGCCCTATCAAGGCAGCATTCACTGATCTGGTGACATCATTCCTCCTTCCTCCAGCCAGGTGTGAAAATGTCGTTGGTCCCCAAGAAAAAGCATTTTATTATAACTGCACAACCCCAGCTATCTCTAATCCCTCCTCCCTATCCCTCACTCCAGCGTGGCAGTCCTGAAGCTCCAAGATGGCTTCAGCCAGATCAGCTTCAGGATTGACAGTCACTTTTATTTGTATACCACAATAATGCATTCCATCACACAACTGCCAACCTGATAATTAAAATTCACTGGCTTTGAAAAATACAAATTTAACTTGGAAAAGTAAAATAAAGACTTAGTCTCTTAAGAATATATTCTTAGTAAGAAAGTACTTCGGAAAATGTTTTGTGAAATTAACTCCCCTATCCCAGGGAAAAGAATGGTAGCAAGGGATTACTTTGTAATTA